TATTTTATAATGGCATGTCAGGGAAACCAAGATTCAAAAGACAGCAAAGCATCTTAACACTAAATTCACTTTTGTAAACTTGTAAGCCAGCCGTTTTACGCCTTTATAGCCCCGCATTTTAGGTAGCCAATGTTTAAGTTGCCCATCCCTATCAACCTTGAGTACTGAGGGGATAGGCTTGATCCTTGATGTGAAGACTCCTTCCTTCTTGGTATTTTGAGCAACCAGATCCATAAACAAGGGTCAAGTTCATCAAATTGTAGCAATTTACACTTGTTTCCTGTATCAAGCCTCTTTATCTTCCTTCAGTCAAGTTCTGATCAGCAAGTTTTCCAAGCTAGGTCAAATGGGTACTGTCTGCAAGTTTGGGTGTTCTTGTGCGTCTCCCCCTCCGTCATATCAGCTGGACGCTTCAACTTTCAGCTCTAGCTCTTCATGACTAGGTCAGTGTCCACGGGCTCAGGAGTTCCAATGTCTTCCCAAACTTCAGACCAACCAACTCTTCCTCTTCTCTTTCTCATTTCAAGGTCGACAGGAGTCTATGGAACATGGTTGAACTCAGCCCATGTCTTCATTATTGCCTTTCCCCCACTTTCACTCATGAGTAGACAGATGTGGTCACCAGCAAGCTTACAAGCCTGCTCATGCGCTCCCTTTGAGTTTCAGTCTTGCAAGGGGATATATACTACATTTTACAAAATTAACATTTGTCAGACATTGTGCTAAATGATTTACATACTCATCCCCTTCACATCTCCATAACTCTAATTTCATAACTGCAGAGATTCAAAGAGGTTTTCCCAAGTTCACATTTAAGTAGCAGAATTGGGATTTGAACCCTGGCCACACTACTCATCATTTCTCAAGTTTGCTGTTGCTCACATGGACTGAAGGAGTCACTGCAGATCTGAAAGTGTCCACAGGGGTCATCTAATCCATGTTGTCATCATACAGATGCAAACACTGAGGCCAACAGCTGTCACTGACATACATAGCATCCTAAACTTTACAGATGACACCAGTGCCTTCTTATCCCCTCAACAATGCTGTGAAGAGGGGCTGGGGAGTGCCCTTTTTAGCTATTGCAGAAGAGAAAACAGATCCTCAAGAAGGAGCCGCTGGCTCTAAGTCCCACAGCAAGTAAGTGGCACAGCTGGGATTCTAAGAGGGGTCTAACTTACTCAGCCCAGTGTTTAGTATACTTATGACTCTATGTTCCTTAGGGTCCAGCAGAAACCATCTGGGGGATGCAGAGTGGTGGTGGAGAGGGGGAACAGGTCTCCTCTATCTGCTGTATAGATCCATCTGTGGGCGAGACCAGGCTCTGAGCTGCAAACGGTGGTGTAGGGCAGGGGTTTTGAGGTTTATGTTAGGAGGTAGTTTGACCATTCATAAAGGCTACTTGGCCACTTGTTGCTGTGGTCTTGAATGTGAGGCCCTGGGTCTCTCTGAACCTCAGTTTAACCCTGAGCTCTAAGCAATATTTTAGATTTGTTAGTCATGTTATTAATATGTAACAGAACTTGATGATTCTCATGTTGGTATGTTTCAGTCCATTGTTGCAGTCATTGTGTCAAGCCATTTCATTGAGCCTTGCCTTCTACTTTACCAAATATGATATCCTTCTCAGTGTTTTGTCCCTTTGATGATGAGTCCAAAACAAGTGAATTGAAGTCTCAGACAACAGGGTTTCTCATTGGCTAATTTTTGGAAGTAGATTGCCACGCCTTTCTTCCTAGTCTATCTTAGTCTGAAAACTCCATTGAAACCTGTCCTAGATGCATGACCCTGCTGATATTTGAAATACTAGTGTCATAGCTTCCAGCATCATAACAACATGCAAGCCACTTCAGTAAGAGAAACTGACAAATGGGTAGTGGATTGTAGGGGTACAAATAGTATAATCAAATCCCTGGAATATTAAAAAACAAAACCAGTTGCTGTCAAGCTGATCCAAAGTTGTAGGGAGCCCACGTTTCAGAGTATAACTGTGTTCCAGTTTTTCAGTGGCTAATTTTTTGGAAGTAAATCACGAGCCTTCCTTCTGAGGTAACTCTGAGTAGACTTGAGCCGTCAACTTTTTGGTTAGTAGCCAACTGTTTGCACTATTCCGGTTGTTGTTGTTGTTAAGTGCCGTTGAGTCGATTCCGACCCATAGCGACCCTGTATAGGTTTTCCAAGGAGAAGCTGGTGAACTTGAACCACTGACCTTGCAGTTCAAACGACTTTGCAGTCTGACGCATTAGCCCACAGCGCCATATAAAGTCTCTGAGACATAGCAGGAGTCTTAAACATGGGCGCTATTATTTTTCTGTTTCTGTGGAGGAACAAAGATCACTATCAGTCTGGATCTATCCTTTGATGTTGGTGTTAGGTATCATCATATTGGTTTCCCCAGGTACCCAGTGAGCTTGGGGGAGCGGGGCCAGCCAACTGGTGGGGGACAGAGGGGGTGGAGGCACGACCATTGTTCCTCTGCTGCCCACGGGACTGACCTGTGTCTTCCTTCCTGGTCCAGCCCCTGGGTACCTACCCTGGCAGGAGCCCCACCCCTGCTACCTCAATGACTCACAGCAACCCCATGTGACAAAATAGAACTGTCCCATGTGATTTTCAAGGCTGTAAGGTATGGCGCTGTGGGTTAACGTGCTCGACTGCAGAGTTGGTTTGAACCGAAATGTTGGCGGTTCAAGCTCACCAGCCTCTCCTCAGAAACCCTATACAGGGTTGCTATGGGTCTGAACCAACCCAACAACACTTAACAACAACAATCTTTATGGCAGTAAATTAACAGGTATTTCCTCCTGTGGAGTTGCTGTGTGGGTTCAAACTGCCAACCTTTTGGTTAGAAATCGAGTGTTTTGTTGGTGTGCCACCAAGGCACCTTCTGACCCACTGTATTGTTCTACATTGTCTTTTCCATGTGATTTTCACCTTACATACTCTCTTCTGCTTCTTGTTTCTTGTTTATCTCTTTCCACTAGACGCTCCATGAAGTCAAGAGTCTTTGTTTTGTTCACTGTAGTGTCCTGATTAGCCAGAACAATACGGACATCTATCTAGCAACCCACTGGCATCGGATCATAGGGTTTCCGAGACTGTAAATCTTTATGGGAGTCCTGGCGTGGAGCTGTAGGATCAGCACTGGACTGTGAACCACAAGGTCTGCAGTTCAAACCCACCAGCAGCTGCTTGGAAACCCTATACTAGGTCACTATGAGTGGGAACTGACTCGATAGCACTTAACTGTAACAACATGAGTCTGAACTAACTCAACGGCACTTAAAAACAAATCTTTATGGGAGTAGATAAATCCTCTCATCTTTCTATGGTGGGTTCAAACTGCTGACTTGCACTAAGGAGCCCACTTGATTAACCCACAGAGCCTCTAGAGTTCTTTGAACACCTAACAGGTGCTCAATAATTATTTGTGGAATGAATAGATGCATGAAATCCACAGAATTAGTCTGTGCAGTGTTGAAGGGACTTTGATTCTGGAAGAGAGATACACAGATTTCCCACTAAGGGGGGCACACACCTCCCCTCTTCCTGCACCGACCGTGCTCCACATGGCCTGAGGATTCACAAACCTCTTCACACCCACAGGTCAGGAACTTCATCCTTAGTAGCTGGTCCTGTTGGGAAACCAGCTGGTATCTGTTCTCAAAGCTCTAGGGGTTAACCTTCGATTCCAAGTCTTCCTGCTCAAATAAAAAATGCAGTATGCAGGAATTATTAACCCCTTTTATACATACAGCAGCGGTAGCCTAAACACATAGCAGCTGAAGCGATTTGTTCAACATCTCCCAACTCTGCCCTCTTCCTCCCCCATAAGGCAGTGACCCCTGCTGTGGTCAGGCAGACCCCCATTGGGGAGCAGTCTCTGGAAAAAGGCGGGCCACAGTCCCCTCCTCTGAGTTCCAACTGCGCCGCCTCCACGTGTGGGTTGGGAGGGGCAAACGGGGGTGGGAAGGCTGCGGAGACAGTCGGTGAGGCGACCCCGCGAGGCTGGGACGCTCAAATCTTCCTTTCCCAGCCTCCGGGGATCCGGGACCCTCCCGCATCCGAGGCTGGGGCTCGGGATCTCCCCGCCCACCGCAGAGTCCCGCGCAGGCTCCCCGGCGCGGGGATCGAGCGCTGCTGGCAGCATCCACCCGATCCTCAGCGCTCTCTGGCCCCTCGCCGCGCCTGTCGGGTTCGGGATCCCCAGCCTGCCGCCTCCCTGGCAGTAGCCGCCTCTCCCTCTCGCGGCCCCGCGGGGCCTGCCGCAGTCGCCGGCAGTGGAGCAGCGCGGAGCGCCCCAGGTACCGAGCGCGGTGGAGCGGGGCCAGCCAGCCGGCCGGCCGGGGGCGGAAGGGGCGGAGGCACGGCCGCTGTTCCTCTGTTGCCCATGGGACCGACCTGCGTCCTTCTTCCTGGCCCAGCCCCTGGGTACCTACCCTGCCTGGGGCTCCAGCCCCGCTACCTCAAGCACTACAGCTCCAGATTTAGCTTTTCACACGCCCGCCCCCGCCAGGGAGCTTGCACCCCGCCAGGGAGCGCCCAACACCGGGTTTCCATCCTGGCCAGGCGTCCCCGCCCCTATTTTACCGCTCGCTCCCTCTAGGGGGCTCTGCTCCTACCTGAAGGCGCCCATCCAACCTCCAAGGGTAATCCGGTGTCCTCATACTGCTAACTTTGTGCCAGCTCCCTCTGGGGAACTCAGCTCCTCACCGGGTGTCCCCTCTCCAAACTTTCTCCAGGTGTCTCTGCTCCTCACTCGAGGGCGCCCAAATAACCCATCTTCCTTCTTCTAGGGTCACTGCCCCTTGACCTAGCGCTCCCACCCCCGTCTTCCCGCTACCTCCACTCACCCACCCCAGGAGAATCCACTGTCACCCGAGGACGCCCACCTAGTTTCCGCTCCGCCAAAGATCTCTGCCTCTAATCAGCTACTCCTCACCCTGCCTTCCACCCACCATACCCATCCTCAGTATTCTTCTTCAACCTCAAGTCCTCGCCTCCCATCCTCCGCCCCCATGGTCTCAGAGCCAGGCCCTTCCAACCACAGCACCCCTGACTTGGGGTCGGGGCCGCCATCGGGCCCGGGGGTCAACGGGTGGCTGGCGGTCGCGCTGTGTACGGTCATCGCCTTGACCGCGGCGGCCAACTCGCTGCTTATCGTGCTCATCTGCACGCAGCCGGCACTGCGTAACACGTCCAACTTCTTCCTGGTGTCGCTCTTCACGTCGGACCTGATGGTGGGGCTGGTGGTGATGCCACCGGCTATGCTGAACGCACTGTACGGGCGCTGGGTGCTGGCACGCGGCCTCTGTCTGCTTTGGGCCGCCTTCGACGTGATGTGCTGCAGCGCCTCCATCCTCAACCTCTGCCTCATCAGCCTAGACCGCTACCTGCTCATTTTGTCGCCGCTGCGCTACAAGCTGCGCATGACGCCCCCGCGCGCCTTGGCGTTGGTCCTGGGAGCCTGGAGTCTGGCCGCGCTCGCCTCCTTCCTGCCCCTGCTTCTGGGCTGGCATGAACTGGGCCGCGCACGGGCTCCTGCCCTGGGCCAGTGTCGCCTGCTGGCCAGCCTGCCCTTCGTCCTCGTGGCGTCCAGCCTTACCTTCTTCCTGCCGTCAGGCGCCATCTGTTTCACCTACTGCAGGATCCTGTTGACTGCCCGCAAGCAGGCGGTGCAGGTAGCCTCCCTCACCACGGGCATGGGCAGCCACGCCTTGGAGACACTGCAGGTACCCGGGGTGCTCAGGGAGGGCACTCGATGGGGAGGAAATGAGCAACCATGGAGCGCCAATTGGGCATCCAGCCATTGGGAGCTCTCATCTTTGGTCTGAACTCCAAACTTAATATCTGACAGTTCACTGGGTAGGCTTCTGGAAGGTAAGGTACAACCAGGAATTCAGGGTTTCCCAGCTCTCCTCACCTGCTCCTCTCCCAGTCTTCCCATCATGGCACACGGCACAATCAAGGCATCACAAGCCAGAAACTCTGTACACATTAATCGGCAAGGCCTGTTGGTGTTGCCTCATGTAAGTGTTTAGTACTGAATTCTCCGTTTCTCTCCATCTCTTCCACTACCCCTTTGCAAGCCACCGTCATGTCTTACCTGGGTAGACTGGTACTGATTGTGCTTCAGTTTCACTACTACCCATTTTCTGCATAGGAGCCAGAGACAAACAAAACTAAATGTGATCCTGCATTCCCCACTGCACTCAAGGTAAATAGGAAGCTCATCTCCTCACCTCCCTTTTCCTTGGCTCTTGCTTTGCGCTTACCACATGGTCCTTCTGGCAGTTGCTAGAAGTTACCAGACCTCAAGGTCTTTGCACTTGCTATTCCATTTGTTTGGAATGCTGTTCTTCCAGTTCTGTTCTAGCCTGACTCTCAGTTCTCAGTTCACCGCTGACCAGAAACAACTCTTGACCACCATAGCTGCATCCACTGTCTCCCACCCTGTTGTTCTCTATCACAGCTCTCAGTTGGCTTGTTGACTTGTTTATTGTTTCTCTCTCCTACTGAATGCAAGCTCCATGAGAGCAGGGCAGATCTAGGCCAGTTCGATCCTCATAGTTGTTGTCTAGCCACCTACAACTCATGGTGATCATATGCGCACATAATGGGACGTTACTTAGTCCTGCACCCTCCTCAAGATCATTGGAATGCTTGAAGCCATTGTACCCACTGTGTATTTTAAGTACCTTCCAATTTATGGGGCTCATCTTGCAGCACTGTATTGAACATTATTCTGTTATGATCCATAGGGGGTTCTTTCTTTCTTTTTTTAAAAGATTTTTATTGTGAACTGAGTTGATAGTTTACGTGGGAGAATATCAGTTTTATACTCATCCTATCGTATTTTGTTTCATTGCAATAATTACAGTCCCCTTCCTGCATCATCATTCAATCGTATTTGCTTCTGTTCCCTCTGCTTTTCTTTCTTTCTTGGATCTACACAAAAACAATCAGGTATATATAATCATTTAAACAACAGAAGGGCACATTCTGCAAGTTTACCTCCTGGCTGCTAGCACACAGCCTTTATCTTTCCAGGCGTCTAGAGTCCTCAACTGCTCTATCTCTCCATGGCATCATCTCTGCCTCCATCTCTGGTGTAGCTGCTTCTCTGGACCATAGGGTTTTCATTGGCTGAGTTTTGGAAGTTGAGCTCTAGACCCTTCTTCCTAGTTTGTTATAGTCTAGAAGTTCCATTGAAACCCGTCCATGATCCTGTTGGTATTTGAAATACTAGTGGCATAGCTTCCAGCATCTGCAGGGAAGCCACCACAGTGTGAGAAAATGACACGTGGGGGAGATGGCTTCTCATAGGTGATTAGTCATTACTTGGGAGTGGGGTAGGTGACTTTAGTTCAAGGTTCTGCATCTAGAAATAGAATGGTTGGTCCTTCGTCCCCAAGTCATGAAGAACCCAAGTCCAATTAGCACCCCAAGTGATGAATGTATAGGCTGACCAATCTCAGAGAATAGAAGGCACCGAGGACAGTCCTAACTGACCCTGAAAGCTCATCTTAATGTAGCTTTAGCTGGAGGAGGCTGCTGGAGGGTGGGGATGCCTTGAGGTATTGGGTAGATGGGACATTTGAAAGACTAACACTCTCCCCTGTCGTCCTCTAGAGCAAGCTGTCTGTTGCGCTCCATCAGTGAGGCCCAGAGCTGCAGCTGGGGGCTCTGGCAGGAGACCAGACCCTGTGTGCAGGAGGCTCTGCCTCTCTCTCCCTATTTGTTCATTGGAGAACATCACTATGATCCTGATTTGGTTCTTCAGTAGTGTAGGCTGCCCTGGACCATCATGTTCTCCCTGGATTCTTTTAAAGGCATTTCCCCCAAACTTTAGCCATTCAGGATCCGGCTCTGGATGCCTGCCTTGCTTCCCTCCATGTACTTCAAACCACTCAAACACATACTTAACTTAGCACTATCTTTAAACCACCTCACTGATCCTTTTACCTCCATGAATTCGTTTAGAAAGAAACTTCATAGCTGTTCTGGAAATGGAAAATCAGTATCCCTTGCCATATGTAGAACAAGTTCTTGGACGAAGCTTCAGCAGTATCACTGAGGTTCAGCTGGTATGGCTGATGTCTCTACCTCCAAGGCCAACTTCCTCTCTGTTAAGTATTGTTGTTGTTAAGTGCTGTTGCGTCGGTTCCACTCATAGTGATCCTTTATAGAGTTTCCGAGGAGCAGCTTGTGAGTTTGAACTGCTGACCTTGTGGTTCAAATTGACCTTGCGGTCCAGTGCTTATCCTACAGCACCACACCAGGAACTCCTTGTTAAGTATTGTTGTTGTTGTTAAGTGTTGGTAGAGTGGTGTTAAAGACACAATAGCATTAGCCTGAAACTTTCTTCTTGACCTAACTGGAAGAGATGGAAGAGAACTATTGTCGTTAAGTGCCGTTGAGTCGGTTCTGACTCATCATGACCCTGTATAGGGTTTCCGAGGAGCAACTGGTGGGTTTAGACTGCCAACCTTGTGGTTTGCAGTCCAGTGCTGAGGGGTAATATTTTCACTCTGTGATTCAATGTTATTTTATGGAGTGTCCACCGAAAATCACCTTGCGTTCTCATACTTTGTGAAACTCTGCTCTAGAATGGGAGAAGTTAGCTGGTCCTGATGGGGCTGGGATAGGAGGAATCAGGATTTGGGTTCCAACAGTGCCTGGCACACAGAGTTTTTTTCCCATGAAATGAATTGATTGGCACCAGGAATGAACCTGAGACTGCTGTTCGGCATCTGGCCAGGAGTCTCTCAGGTGCTAACAGCTATAGCTCATAGTCTTTGAGTATTCATTATGTGCCAGACACCAAGCTAAATTTAGTAATCCTCAGAACAACCCAATGAGGCAAGTATTGCCATCATCCCTGTTTTATAGAGGGAAGTTGACCTGCCTGAGGTCACACAACTGGTACAGAAAGTTCAAGCTTGGATCTGTTTTCACTACTTCATGGGCATTGACATTCTCTTGAAATGCTGCCCTCAGGCAGACCACACTATGCGTCCTACCTTACTGGCTGTATCTCCTTTGTTGGTTTCTTTGGCCCTGCCCCTAATTGTGGCATGTTTCACCTCAGTCCTCTGACCTCTCCATTCTCCCTACAGATATTCCTTAGACCGTTCATCTTGTCTCATGTCTGAAAATGCCACTGACGCCTAATGACTTCCAAAGCACTATTTCCAACCCGGGCCCTTTACTTAATTTGCCCCCAGCAGCAAAAGGCAACTACAATTTGTCTATGACTCAGGCCTGGACGCTTCTCTTTCTTCACATCTAATCCTCTTATCTTGACCTTTAAAACATATCCAGGTTCTGATCACTTCTCACGTCTTCACTGAAACCACCTGAACTGGGCCCTGGTCCTCTGAGGCCTGGATTATGCTTGCTCCCTTTCAATCTAATCTAACACAGGAACCTGAGGGAGCCCTTTAAAATGAAAGTCCCATCCTGGCTTACCTCCCCTCTGGTGGGCTTGCTTCTCATGTGGTATGGCCCTCTGCTCCTTCTCTGGTACTCTTCCAGGTCCCCCAGGCCCATTCTCAGTATTCTAATTACATCAACCTCCTTGCTGTTCCTTGAACTCAACTAGAATGCTCCTACTACTGGGCCTTGGCACTTACTGTTCTCTCTGCCTGAAATGCCCTTCGCCCACATCACCATATGGCTCATCCCTAGCTCTCATCAATTCCTTCAGGCTTCTGCTCAATTGCCCTCCCTAACCATTCTACCAAGAGAAGCAACTGCTACCTCTCTGCAGGTACTCTTTGACCCTAACTCCCTGAGTTAATTTTCTCTCATCAGCACATACTATATACTTACATATTTACTTTGTTGATTACTTACTTCTCTCTATTAGGATGCCAGCTCTAGGAGACCTTGTCTTTTTCCTTACTGCTGTAGTATGCAACAGTGCCTGGCATATAGCAGGTGCTCAGTAAATGTTTTTGAAGTCCTGGTGTGGTGCTGTAGATAAGCACTTGACTGCAAGGTCCTATTGAATTGCAAGGTTGGTGGTTCAAACTCACCAGCCTCTCTTCGGAAACCCTATATAGGGTTGCTGTGAGTTGGAAATGACTCAATGGTGCTTAACAATGGTAGATGTTTCTGGTAGGAATGAAAGGACCACTGAACATCATGTGGCCTGGAGTCCCACCTCCACTCACAGTGCTGCCTTTTCTCCCACCCCTTCAGAATCAGTTCTTGCATATGACAGAGCCTAAGCTTTTGACCTTGATCCATTTGCTCTCTCAGGTTTACTGAGCATCCACTTTGCTCAGGAGCTGTTCTAGGCTATAGATGTGGAAGTGAGGAGGACAGATAGACACCATCCTGTCCCCTGGGAATTTCTGTTTTAGCTGGGGGGCGGACATTGACTAGGGCACACCATCATGGTAAGTGTTAGAGGGATGATTACTTCCTGTGAAGACCTGAAAAAGCCAAGCAGAAACTCCACAATGAGCCCTAAACCCAAACATGGGTCATTCAGGCCAATATCCTGCCTGTGAGGCAGATTGACCCTTGAACCTCTCAAGACATCTCAAGATGTCTATTCTAATGCCTCTCCCTTTCTGGAAAGCCCATTCGCTTGGTTTGTATGTAGAACAGAATGACCCCATCACCCAGAGCCCCTTGCCTCCTCCACAAGCCTTCTACAGACTCTTTCCCCTACTTCCCAGAGAGTTGTCTGTATTTGGGGAATTTCCTTCCGGGATGTTGC